ATCTGCACCATCTCAGTCACCCTTCCTAAATTCATTGTCAATTCCTTTTCTGGTACTCAGTCCCTGTCTCTCCTTGGCTGTGCTGCTCAGATCTTCTTCTTTCTCTTCTTTGGAACAACAGAGTTTGCTTTGCTTGTGGCCATGTCCTATGACCGATTTGTGGCCATCTGCCGCCCCCTACACTATGGCATCATCATGACGCCAGCACGTTGTGTCTGGGCAGCAGCTGGCTCATGGCTCAGTGGGCTTATCTATTCAGCTGTCCACACTGGGAACATGTTCCGCCTGCCCTTCTCAGGACCCAATGTGATCCACCAGTTTTTCTGTGATGTCCCTCATGTCTTGAAAGTCTCAGCCTCTGATGTGTTTCATACTGAGTTTGTATTAATTGTAGCAAGTTTGTGTTTTTTGCTATGCTGCTTTGCCTTTTTAATTGCATCATATGTTCGCATCATTTCCAGTGTGCTCAAGATTCCTTCTGTGGAAGGACGCCACAAGGCCATTTCAACCTGCTCCCCTCAGTTGGCAATCCTTATGTTGTTTCTCATTTCTATAATGATTGCAGTCCTCAAGGACACATCAGACACCTCACCTATAGAAAACCTTTTAATTGCTATGGCCTATACAATACTGCCCCCGTTTATGAACCCCGTCATTTATAGCCTGAGGAACCAGAACATTACAGTTGCTATGGGCAAAATGATCAGGGGGATGTTTTTTCCCTAAGAAAGAAATGTCCATCCTTGAAGCTGAAGAATATGTATTTGATCTGTCAAATGTGTTAGATGACACATGAGGTGGGCTAAAATGGGGAGAAATGGCCCCCAAAACAATACCACCCATGAAAACAGATCCTTAGATGAAATGTTACATGGGATGGAATGAATCACTCAATTATTTTCATGTAGCAGAGACCCATCCTACAAGGGGTTACTGTTTATAGTGTAATTATCATGAAACCAGCCCATTGTCTTTGGGCAACAGTGCTATCAGAAGAATGGATGGAACACTTATTGATACCCTGAAAAATTGTAGATAAGCTTAACCAAAAACAGCCATCAGGATGGCTGTGTTGTTCTCCCCCTTTAACGTGTTTCTTGTGTTCTCACTTTCATTCTTTTGTTTCCAGTCACCTTTATAATGGGTAATATCTTTCTCCTTCTTTGCATGTTGAAGATCTATTTATCTTTCAAATACACACACACACACATATGTTGCAGAGAAGTTGTAGGTTTGCATTGATAGAGGGACTTTCTTCAGTTTAGAGTTCCCTATCCCAATGAAATTGAAGACCCTTTCCTTATCCCTACCACTACAAGGGGATTGTTCTTGTTGAGTTGTATCAGACTCTTTGCAAGCCCATTTATTGTTGTCTTGGCAAAGATAGTGGAGTGTTTTGCCATTCCCTTCTCCAACTTATTTTTCAGTTGAGGAAACTAAGGCAAAGAAAGTTAAGTGACTTTTCCAGGTTCACACAAATAGTAAATGTATGGATTTAGATTTGAGCTACGAAAGATGAGTCTTCTTGCCTCCATGTTTAGCACTATATCTCCTGTGCCACCTAGCTATCCAGACACCTAGCTCTCTGGAAAGGCAAGGCAAGATGATATATTTGGAACTAAAAATAATGGAAAATTCAAATGTATAAATATTACATAAGAAAATGTTGAATTGTTCTATTTAATAATTTATAAAATGACACATTCATATTACTTTGTTATTTTGTCATTTTTCAGTATTGTCATATAAAAAAATTGTAAATCACTATTGATTAGAAAAATGTGTTAAAAACCAAAAACTACCATGCCATGTTCATCAGATTAACTAACATGGCAAAAAAAACACCAAAATAACAAATGTTGGAAGGGATGTGGAAAAAGAGAGACACTAATGTGCTGTTGGTTAAGTTGTGAACTGGTCCAACCATTCTAGAAAATAATTTGGAACTTTGCTCAAAGTCTATAAAGCTATCTTTAAATTTTTGATTCAGCAATGCCACTTCTAGGGCTATTTCACAAAGAGATCAAAGAAAAGGGAAATGGACCAATTTACATGACATTTATAGCAGCTTTTTTGTGATGGCAAAAGAATTAGAAATTGAGGAGATACCCATCAAATGTGGAATGGCTAAACAAGTTGTGGTATATGATTATGATGGAATACTATTATGCTACAAGAAATGATTAGGGGGATGATTTCAGAAAATAAAAACCTGTGGAGATATATGAGCTGATGGAGAGTAAGCTGAGCACAATGTGAAAAACAGAGGAATTAAAAATATTAGCTATTTATTTATTTTTAACATAAAAAATTGAGTTTTCTATTCTCTCCCTCCCAACCTTCCCTGGCCACCAAGAAAGCAAGCAATATGATATCTATTATATATGTGAAATCATGTAAGACATATATACATATTAGCCATTTCACAAAAAGGAAGAAAAATAAGAAAGTGAGAAAATTGTATTTTAATTTGCACTTGGAGTTCATTAGTTCTTTCTTTGGAGGTAGATAGCATCTTTCCTCATGAATCCTTTGGTATTGTCTTGGATCACTGTATTGAGCAGAGTAACTAAGTGTTTCACAGTTGATCATCATTACAATATTAGTGTTAGCATGTACAATGATCTCTAGGTTCTGTTCACTTCACTTTGCCTCAGTTCATATAAATCTTCCTATGTTTTCCTGAAACCATTGCCCTCATCATTTCTCATAGCATGATAGTTCTTCATCACAATCATATACCACAGCTTGTTCAGCCATTCCTCAAGCAATGGGCATCCCCCAATTTCCAATTCTTTGTCACCTCAGAAAAGCTTCTAAAATATTTTTGTACATATAAATCCCTTTCCTTTTTCTTTATTCCTTTTGGGGTACAGATCTACCAGAAAAGCATTTTAATAAAATTTTTAAAAAGTGAATTATGAATTATGAATAAATGAATTAAACATTTATAAAACAAACTTACTGTGAAATCACATTATCCTCTAAGATTAAATCAGGCACACTATTCACATTTTATTGTTACCCTCCACCCCTGTGATTGGGTCTTCTCACTGGAGGGTAGAGTGTTGACTTCTAAACCCTCCATTTAATGGGGGAGCCCAACACAGTCTTCTCATTTCCTACCAGCTGCACTGCCTTTGTACTTCTCATGCAACTTCTAGCACCTTTTGCTAAGTGCTGTTTCACCTTCATCTTCTTCTCCCCATTTTCTTTATACTTAACATAGTGCTTTGTATATGGTAGACATTAGACACATGTTTATTAACTATTGACTAAGAATGTCATGGATTGAGAGAGTCCCAATATCCTACAGTTTTATGACTGACATTTTAATGAAACTGAAGTGAGAACATTTTCCCCCATATTGTTTATACTGGAGACTATATATTACCTAATTATTCTCAAAGGATGGGTCAGAGAATCCATAGCAACCCAGGGATATGATGATGATTATTTTTAATACTCTAGTGATTTCACAGCACCTTCTCCAACTGACACTAGGAAATATATTTCACTGGGTTCTATAAGAAAAAAATCACCAAAAGTCTCCAGAATGACTGCAGGTTGAGAGGTTTAGACTTCAGTACTTGACCATATTTTTGAGTCTGCCAGTGAGAAAGGAATTAATTGTGAGGAAAGAGATAGTCTCCAGATTATGTGTGGAACTGTAAGTAGGTGGAGAACCAAATGACAATAACAACATATCCTGGAAAATATTTTCTTCAGAACAAAGAACTCAGGTATTTTCATTATGATGATGATTATTTTCCTTTGTAACTGGTTAGTTTGCTGAGGTGCTTAATGTGTGAACGTGAAATCATGGCAATGATCCCCGTGTAAGCGATTCTTTTTTCTTGGAAGTAGTTCGGCATCACACTATAGATAGTCTGGTGGGTTGGAATTAAGTAAGACCTTAGTCCAAATTCTTCTTCTGGCTCTTATGAGCCTCCTTCTGTGATTACCTCCAATTCTTTCTTTATATATCATTTCTACATGCTTATTTATTTGCTTTCTCTTCCCCAGTGACTGTGAGCTCATTGAGGTCAGGGGCTGTATTTTGCCTTTTTTGCTCAGTTCTTACCACAGTGTCTGGGACATAGTTGCCAGTAAATAAATGCTTGTT